GCAACTTAGTTAGGTACTATCCATCTGGAAATAACTTTTATCATTCATATGTTGTTAATAAGGATGCCTGGGGAATGAGTAAGGCATAGTTAAAACTCACATTTTTTGGCTTCTTGGTTTTAACTTGTTTTTTGGTCCTTAAAAAATCATGCAGTTCAAAAAAAAAAAAAACCACCTAAGAAATAAGACTCAAGAGAACCAAATGAAGTTCATGAAACCGGGCTAAACAATACAGTCTACCAGGTGAAAGTGTACAGAGAAGTTAAATGTAGATAAAGTTAGCAAATCATCAAAATGTGACATCTCACACTCAGTATTCGAGTCTCAGAACATATTTATTTAATGATGACCAAACCATATTTTCAAAAATACCCAACGCTATCTTACTACAAGGAGGATACTTTTTCATATGATTCTTAATTTACCTGTTAATTAACAGACATTTCAGATATATAATATAACCTGAATTCCATCACATTCTTCATCACAATTTTCTGTTACATGAGTATATTTTAAATGCAGTAGGTAAGAAAGTATAATAAATGTATTAATAAGATTGTTATCCAGACCTTCTTAATTAACTCTAGTAATTTTAGATTTGCTCATAAATTAATCAGTTTTGATCAATCAAAACACCTACTAGCATATTTAACAACAAGAAATAGTTCTTCAAACAGAGAAGTTATTGAACATACTTTTTCTTCTATTTTCTATGTATTTTTATTCTTGAACTAAAATCATCGAGCACCTTAAAGCAATACTGCTGGTCTGTGACTCCTCTTTTAATGCCAACAAAACTCTTCATTATTTTAAAATACTAACAATGTCACAAATAGATTTATTATTAGTTCAGTGCAGAACATCACTCTGTGTGGCATGCTTGACACTCCAAATCTCAATTTATTTCCTCACCTGCGGGTAACCTCAGATTTTAGATTAATGTCATTTGATGACAGTGCAATTCTGTATGACACATACTCAGTTGCACAGACAAGTCTTTGATGAAAACCTTTAAGGTAGAATGAATCTCTTAGGCTATTAAAAAGCGTCCTTGCACACTTTTTCAATCATAATGAATAATATTCAGAGGTAAAAATATTGCACATTTCAAACTACCAAGAAAATACACGAGTTGTAAATTGTTTTTCAGTGTCAAAAACACTGGAGTCATTTCAAACTGCTTCCCATGGTTGCAGCCTATCCTAGAGAGCTGCAGTAAGTAGCTTAAAATGGTGAGGAGCTGTAATTAATTTTCCTAGTCAACTCCTGAACCACAAGGATTGGGAGGACAGTGAGGCTCTAAAGAACCAGAAGATAGATGTTCCTCCTGAAGTCTCATAAATCCCATTACTGTAGACCATTAAAATATTGCACCTGTATATTTAAATCTGATCATGACTGAGTTTTGAATATTCCTTAACTCTGAAAGTTGCTCATCAAACTTATATCACAGCTCACAATTGTGATTCTCCATTGCCTAAATTCAGAGACTGTTCAACGTTAAGGTTTAAGCAGTGTTGAAATGATATAGAAATATCTCAGTGATTCTTACAATTTTGGACATGCTAATTGCAAACTTGCTTTCTCAAAGAAGAGATATAGTATTCTCTAATAACACAACATAGCAACAGTGTTTTAATGAATTGTAATAAGTGTGCAAATAAGATTTAAAATATGTATATTTCAAAATAGCAATAGTTATGTCAAAGTATTTAAAATCCTCACACTACATTCTTTTATACACTATTGAAGTTTATATTGAAAAAAATCTAACAAAAGATTGACTAATATGTGAAATCTTTGTGATTTCATCAATATATATTTCCTCATTCCTGGAAATATTTTGGGAAACATTTTTTTTACATTGTATTGTTTAACGTTTTCTTAAAATTTGCTGGTATTATCCTGAATTTCTAGTTACTTGATATAATATAAAATATGTTTGTAACTATTAAATATGTATAGTTAGTATTTTGTGATATTAATTAACTGACAACAGCTCTGTTAGGCAATTGTCATTATTAGGAGATGGAAACACACACACACACCTAATTTATATAACCATTATATTCAATATTTTGTTACAGAATCTTCCTCTTCTCAGATAATACAGAAAAAGTGTTAGAGCAGAGTTTGTGGCTCACACAGATCATGTCTGCATATGAACATGAGAAAAATATGATTTCCTCTTTTTTTTCGAACACCTTCTTGATCCTTTAGTCACATGAACATCAGAGACAAAAGCAACCTGCCATGCTTCCAAATACGTGTCCTCCAGATTATTTGCAAATTACTTATGTGATTGACCCATCATTTGATTCACTGTGTCTAGAAATATCAGTATTCCTGTGTCTTTACTCTACCACACACAGAAAATGTTCTCTCCAATTCCCTCTGTACTTGAATACATACCTTCTTTGCTTGCATTTGTTCTAGTTATCATCTTGCTTAATTCGTTAGCTCTATACCTATTTACACTCTACGTATAAAATACAATCCATGTTGCAAGCTGAAATACCTAGGCCTAAATCAGTATTGCATACTTAAGAAGATTTTGATAAATACTCAGATAACATATTGATTAATAAAAGAAGAGGACTAGGAGAGGAATGAAAAATAGGAGGCATAAAAATATTGTAGAAAAATAACATATGTTTAGTACCCAGTAATACATGTTGACATGAAGTTGTCAGTATAATTTTCTCTATAGTACAAGAACTGAAGAGTGGCTTTAATAGTTGTTCAATTTTGTATTTCCACCAATTCAAGAATGAAATAAATATAATGCTCTTTCCTTGTTTGTGGTGTCTTTCCTAACAGGTTGCCTGTTTCATGATCAGATATATCAATAATGTTCGTCATTTATCTATCTTGACTTCTATTCCACTTTTTACCATGTGCCTGGTCTATGTTGAAAGAATAAAGGAAGACTATTTTCAACACATTCATCTTCCACTTCTGTTCTCACTCTCTAGGTTAAATTCTTTGTCATCATTCTTCAGGGTTTCTGACTCTGTTTTAGGATTTCCTACACAAACACGCACACACACAACACACACACACACACACACTCATAGATACATGTATGTATATAACCTACTCAGTTCATTTATTTTTTATGTGTATATGTTTAGGATTAACCGTTTATATTGGATAATCACTCAGATGACTTGTCAGTGAAGAATACTGCTTCAGCCTCTCTCTAAAGCCATTATCTGTGGCTCATTCTTCATCTATGAAGATGGGAGGGGACATACAAAGTGCTGGGGTATGGTTGTTAGTATAGGTTGTAGCGTAGTTGCCTTCATCCTAGGATTTATAATTTATTTATCTGTGACTAAAGCACTTATACTTTATATTTTAATTTATCTAATTTAAAAATTATTTCCAGGGAGGTGATATTATTTCAAAATTTAATTTAATTTCAATCTTTCCTTTTGAATTTAAAGAATATATAT